AAACTTTTATTCATCTGTTTCACCTGTGCCTATAATTCTTGCATGAATGTGCTTGTGCAAGACTGTTTATTTCCATTTTGTTGCTGTGCATTTCCACCTGAAAGACGGCACACTGCCCTCCAGTCACTCAATGAGCTGGCTCACGGGTTGTGGCCGACAGGGAATGATATGGTTATAACTAATGGTACCATTGTAGCTGCAGCGTTTTTAGCAGCAAGCTCCAAACAAGCGCACATGTTTTTTCTAACACGGTTATGGTCTATTTACCAGCTTGCAAAACTACAGTGTCTCGTAATTTGATTAGAGTAAAATTCACAATATAGTTAGTTGATTTGCCCTCCATATTCAAAATATTTTCATGCATGACCGTAGGATTGAAGCATATTGGGAAGGAAAGGTTGCATATTGACCAAAACTTGCACACTGCCACACGACGCATAAAGGCATGAAGACAGATGTCATCGCGCTCAGCGCACAGTAGCTCAAGTGAAGTGCTCAGCTTTCCCCTCAGCTCCCCCACAGATCCTGAAGAAGTTAAAACATGCAAAGGGAGGAACTGTCAACTCATTGGCATAACAAGAGCGTCACAGTCGCCCCGCAAGGTGCAAACTGCCCGGCCTTCAAAAGCCAGGGGAGTCCTCACCTTGTGAGGCGGGAGGGGCCTGGGGAACATACAGGGGCGGGACAGAGATTCAGGGGAACTGTGAAAAGTCACAGCATCAAGCTGGGGGGGTTTTCACTGGCAGAACGTGCGAGAGAGTCACAGGAAATCTCAGCTGCGGCGAGACTGTTTGTTCTCACCCCCTATTGCAGGAACCCTTTCGGGGAGTTATTTTAGCACGTCTGTAAGAGCGCCATTTAACATACTCATTCATTACTGTTTAAATAGGCCTGTTGAGCCCATAAACATGCACTCACAAAAATCATAAAAAAGTACTGCTATTAACGTCTGAACTATTGCGGAATTATTGGAAGACTGGTTAACTTCCTGTAAACTCAATCCCACTCGAAAAAGTTCCTTTTACTTGCTATATTTAATAATTTTAATGACGTACATTTCACCAGACTTTTTTTCTATGAGAACATTAGAGAAAAGTTATATGACTGTTTTGGTATTTGCAGAGGCGAAGTTTTGCCCCCAGTCGGCGGTGTTCGTCACTGCTGAGGCAGGTTAGGGGCCAACACAGGAGAGCTGAGAGGAGAAGGATGGCGGGACATTTAGAGTGTGGTGACTGTAAACACCACTCATTACCGAAGGGACTGCCGCACCGCACTGGGCAAATGTTTATAAGAACACCTCTGTAAACACAAACATCCTGTAAGGATCAGCCAGAGGGTAAGGGACACCCAAGACCGCCCAGTAATACCGCAGTCATGTCAACGGAAGTGTAAGAGTATACCCAGTTTTCCTAGCAAGTGAGCCGACCGGAGGCACACGGGCATCAGTAGACTCCGCGCTCATGTCTCCTCAACTACAAAAATACACGCTTTATTTTGGTCTCGCACCCTTTAATTATTTTAGTGCTTGAATTTGAGAAGATTAGGCTCTAGTATCAGGCGACACGCTGAGGAGCAACCAAGAAAGTGTGAGAGGCAACAGTTTGCAAGGGGTCAAAAGGCTCTGGTTTCTGCCAGAGCGGGACCTCTCTCACACACGCTCAGAGTTAAATCAGAGCGGGACCTCTCACACACGTTCAGAGTTAAATCTGTCCCTTGCTGCAGCTGCCTTTCAGTGTGGTCTTCAAAAATGCCATGATGAGAAGAGCAGGCAGTTTGCAGTTTTTTCAGCGCTACATTCTAAAAGTAATAATGTTTTTGTTTCAAGTAACCGCTAAATTTGATTCAGCTTCCTGTGATTTTGTGCGTTTCATTTATGCTGAGGCTGCATATGACCAAGTGGTATTCAATAGGATTGGGTGGGGGCATCTCTATTCACCACTCACTGGCGAGCCCCTAGGGGTGCAGACAGAACCAAGAGAAAAGCTAATATCCAAAACTTCCATCGGTTTTTCTACCTTCAGTTAAAAAACTGACTGCAAATTGTAGGATTCCTGAGTACAAGATGCATGTAATTGGGCTAATCCAACAAATTACCATTCATTATAATTTCACTTTGTCACTGAACAGCATGTGCACTGTCTTTATCATTATTGTGAAATGCCACCTAGCAGGTCCTGCAAAAATCTTAAGTAGTTGTTCATTCATTGATTTATTTGTTCTTTTACAAATAAACTAAGAAATAAGAAGGCTAGATAATAATAAATTAACTATAAGTAATCATAAGTGGATAAATAATTGTTTTCAAAAGATATCACATTAACAAAGTTAATCAGTGCTTGAGCCTTAAGTAAATGCATTTGGCATTGATTCTGCGTTTGTCATTATTAATCTTTGATAAAGCCAGTGGCATTAAATGAGCAGAATTATGTTTAATGAACTTTTTTCCCATTTCTGAATGAGCACATATGGCGTTTATAACATTTCATCTCCCCTTTTGGGAGGAAAAACTATGATTATTTCATGGTAAGTACTCTCAATAGTAGAGCCTGAGTGACATTTGACAGTTTTCAAGCAACTGGTTTGTGTGCTAGAATTTAAATAGAAACATGGTGTGTGAGGCATTGATTATTTGTGACAATGTTTGGAGCAGAGAAACAAGAGCAGTGATAAGATAAATGATATCCAGGGAGGTTTCATTTCAGAAAGGCCAAGTTCCCCTCTTTCGACATTTGTGCTTCCAGTAGAATTAAAGTTTAAAAGTAAGTTGTACAAATGACCTACAGGGCTCAAGAGTTCCCAAATGCCAAGTCTAAAATGAACAACTGGGATATATCATCGAGAGAAACTTGAGTCTGGGACTGTTACGCGAGATTTATTAGCAGCAGTATTTTTCTAGTGTCAACTGATGTTCTGTAAAAGTGAGCCGTGGTTTTGCATGACTTCTCTTGGCAGTCTGCTTGCATTTAAAATAGGGCCACTCCAGTGAGTGTGTTAAACACAACTGATTAAGATGCACCTCAGACCCTGGGAGTTAGTATTTGCCTCTTATCTTATTACCACAGCCATACTCTGAGGTAGGACATATGGAATACTGTCTTCACACGGAGCACTTCGGAAATGTACGGAAAATAACACGAACAGAGAAAGCAACGTAATCCCAGACCCTAAGGTTTAATCTTTTTGGTATGTGACACATGCAGAGTGAAAGGGACAAAGATTGGAGGAGGCCCTTAGATACTGAAGCTCTGACTTTGTGACAATGGCGGAGTGCAGATCACTCATAGTTTTATAACTGACACTAACTGATAAACATCTGATCATTTCCTATTGTCTCCATGCTCATTTTTACAAACTATCTAATGAAACTGATAGTTTTCTTAATATGATCAATGAAATATTAATAATGGTTAATTCGTCATATTAAAACATTTCTCAGAGTCCGCATGCGCTATCAATTCTGATATTTTTGATGTTGCAGAAAATAGTTCTAGAATAATGGTGCAGAAAGCTGTCTCAATCCCCTGCCTGCCTCATTGAACTGGATAAATGTGACAAAAATACAGCACACAACGAAATAGGGGTCAAATTTTTTTTTGCATTTTATTGTTATCGACTCCATTCAGCTTTCTCTAGTCGTCGCTTTTTCCTATAACTTCGCAATGATAACATCACATTCAATTCTGAACAGCTGTTAATTTTTGGACTGGAATATTTGTGCACCTACTTCCTGATGTGTTGAATTTATTAATTGAAACGTTCACCTTGCTCGTGCCATAAGGTGAGTGTTTTTGTATTGACCATATTCTAGCTTTGATTTATTGCATTTATTCCATGCTGCCTCGGTTTACTGGAGGGGGAATTCTGGTAGCCTTACTAGCTAGATTCCCAGGTCAGCATGCTCAGTATTGTATGTAAACACTTGATACTTATCATGGAGCATACTCAAAGCTAATTTCTGTCCGGAGCTCTGCTTTAAGTAGTTACATGTGAGTCTAACCTTTAGCTCTTGAATGAAAACTGATGCTCCGTGTGGGGCATTGATGAAGGGAACTGTGGCATGCTGAACTAATGCTTGTTTTTCCAGGGGCAGTATAGAGTATACCACACCTCGGCTGGACTCCCTGTAGATACACCTCACTGGCCAGGAGGCACCTCTGACGTGCTGTGATTTTTATTATACAACAGATCAGGTACAAGCGTGTTTATTGCAGTTTGGTTTTCTTCAGGTTTGCAAAGTGAGACAGAGTGGCAAAGTGGTTAGTGCTGCTCTACGGACTATGGCCGGTTGTATTCAGCTTTCCTTCTGACAGCTAAGCACGGTGGCAAGTGAGACACCATCTTTCTTCCATATAAGATCAGATAGGAGGTCTGCCTCAGCTGTTCCATGCACACATTCCATTATTAACCATCTACTGCCTGCTGTCTTCCCTCTGCCAGGCCACACACAGCAACCTTGCATGCGTGCTGTATACACTATACATGATAGAAAGATGGAGGGGTGACAGAAAGAGTGGCATGTTTGAAAATTCACTTGTATTTGTAAATGAACAGGAATGTTGTGATGTATGTATGTAATAATAATAATAATAATAATAATAAATGCTATGTTTTATGTCATCAGTCTTAAAATTAGTAATATTAATGGCTGGGCACTGGTAATGGGAATGGTAACTCAATGGTTTTGGGGTCAGCTCCATGGATGCTGTTGTTGTAGTACATTTGAACAAGGCCTTTTGCTGTATAAAGAGGTTGTATATAGCAATGAAATGAAATGAAATGTCAGGCTATGGGGAGTCAGCCAAATGGCTGAATGTAAATATGAACCACCAAGCAAATATAGACGTTGCTGGCCTAAAAGATGAGCTGTAGAAACATTAATGCCCACAAAAGCTGAGTAAGTTTTTTCGTGGTATAATAGCAATGTATGATTCTGAATATACAGAATAGCCATAAATTGACAATTTATACTAACACTGCTCAAGACCAGGTCAGAATATCCTGAACCCAGGGGAGGATCAAACTCACGACTTAGGGATTCTGTTCCACTGCTCTATCAACTGAACTACCAAGTTGCGTTGGTAACGGTTTGCAAACCACAATGCACATGACAACTTGCCACAATAAACATGTGGAATTCTGTTTTTGCGGAGATTTGATTCGATGACCTAATGTTTTGATTCCGAATGGGAGTCGGCCTCAGGGATAAATAGACAATGTATATCAACACTGCATAAGATCGGGTCAGAAAGTTCTGAACCAAGGTGAGTATTGAACTCACAACCCATGGATTCTATCGCACCGCTCTATCAACTGAGCACTGAGTCTGATTGGGAGAAGTTTGCAAGTTTGATCTCAAACCACAATGCAGATGACTATTCGCCAGGATGAACAGGTCTGTAGAAGCCAAGAATATAATAACTACCATTAATTTAATACTGGCTAATAATAATTTTTCTGCTCTTCATGTAATAAAAGTCAATAACGTAATAACTTACCAATAATGTAATTACTTTTTGCCCGTAATGTAATAAGTTATTACATTATTGACTGGAAATTTGTAAGGTAAGTGCTTCGTACACATTTCAGGTGAGGACTGGACTCAGGTGCAAAGATGGACTTGGTAGTTTATTCTGCCTACAGCGCAGCAGAAGGCATGCACGAAGCAATACATAACAAACAGGAATCGAGGTTCCTTAATATAAACACTATTAGTAATACAAACACTGTGCATAGACTGCAGAAACAATGTATTACAAATAGAAAACAAACAGGGTGCGAGGTTCATTAATATAAAGTGCTGGTAAAAACAATAAACAGCACTAAGTTAGAGTTGGAGTATATATACACACGAAAAACGGGGATTACATCTATACAAGACTAGGAATGTAACTTAGGTATGGAGTTACGAGACATCGCAATGACTAAGTGAGAAGCTCAGTTTTAAACAGCACACTGCTACCACACAGTGGAAATAAGAAACAGGTGCAGGTAATGATTGAATGAAATGAGGAATGCAGTCCGGGTCTTGGTAGACCAGTGAGCTGGACAGCTAGAGGCGTGACCTTACACAATTACATTATCAGTTGGGTTTTAAAAAAATACTAATGTTATAATTGGAGTCAAGAAAGTAAAGATATACTAATATTGTTATCATAAAGTTTTATTTATCTTCTATAGACTTCAATAATACTGACCCTTATTGTTGCTTCTATCAAATGTAAAAAAACCAGACCAATCTTTACCCTTGAATTTATTTAATTTTAATAACCTAATTGCCATTTAACGATAATTCCCTTTAACCTGTTACCTTATAACCTTGACTAAATTAAACCACTAATTACCTTTCAACTTCTGTGATAAAGAAGACAAAAGTTTGACAAAGGTAGAAAGCCTAATGTTAGTCAAATGACTAGGGAACCTGTCAATCAAGAGCCATCCAGTGGTCAATGATGGGGGTTGCTAAAGAAAATATGTCCTCAAGCATAGATTCACATTCCACACTGAGGATACATGTTATTTGCTTCTTTTTAGACTGTCCGTTGAGTTCGACATGACTTTTTTCAAATAACAAAATATGAAAACAGGGCAAGAATTCTGATCTGGTAATACATTTTCCTGTGACATTTTATATGTCAATTTTGGTATGCATAGAGAGAGATGGTACTGAACAGCTATAATAGAGTATTGGAAACAGTTTGCTAAAAAAAAAAAAAAAAAAGCAATTTAATTTCCACTTGGGACTAGCCATCGGAGGGATTACAATTCTGCTCTCACCTCACCTTAAAGCACATCACTTCTCCAAACCTGTTCCCATTTACATTTCCTAATTAGCAACTAAGTGTTAATTTGTTCAATTGTGAGGGTCAATCGTTACTGTCCATTACCCTTCAGCTTGTATTATTGTTCATTGCAATGGTTAACAAGCATTCTCCTATCCACATTAATGGTGACATAACCCGTCAAAGTCTTTTGAAGCTTGTGAATTCCTGTAGCTCACAAAATAATATACAACGTGTGTATATATATATATATATATATATATATATATATATATATATATATATATCAGTGGCGGCTCGTGAACTGGCAACTGGGGAGGGTCAAAACAATCCCTTATTGGTCACAACCTGTTTTCAATCATTCACTTAGATTACCATTACAGAAACTTCGAAAACTCTCAACGTTATCAGGTGTGGCCAGTTTTCATTTATAACGCATACCTGTCAACTCTCACGCATTCGGTGTGAGTTTAAGATGCATATTTACATTCCTCTGCTGTAGTCAGCAATTATTCAATCAACACCTAGGCTATGAAAGAGATTTTCGTGCGGAATTGAAGTCCTTGTGCATGGAGGGGTTGGAAGCAATGGACAACGTAATTGCTTAAAGACGTTTCAAATGATCTAATTTCATTTAAATGATCGCAAAACACATGCATTGCTTCCAACCGCTGAGTAAACAAAAGCGCAAGAAGTCCGGAGTTGTAATCAGTATGCGTTATAAATAAAAACTGGCCACACCTGATAATGTTGAGAGTTTTCGGAGTTTCTGTAATGGTAATTTAAATGAATGATTGAAAATAGGTCGTGACCAATCATTAATTTTAAGGGATCATTTTCAGCCTCCCCAGTTGCCAGTTCACGAGCCGCCATATACAACCCCAATTCCGAAATAGTTGGGACAAAGTGTAAATTGTAAATAAAATCGAAACACAATGACTTTCAAATCACACCAGCCAGTATTTTATTCACAAGAGAACAGAGATAACATAGCAAATGTTGAAACTGAGAAAATTTACAATTCTATCCACAAAATGAGCTCTTTTCAAATTTGATGGCTGCTACAGGTCTGAAAAAAGTTGGGACAGGGGCCTGTTTACCATGGTGTAGCATCCCCTCTTCTTTTTAACACAGAGTGGAGGCGTCTGGGCATTGAGGAGACAAGTTTCTTGAGTTTAGCCATTGGAATTTGATCCCACTCTTGTTTAATGCAGGCTTCCAGCTGCTGGAGAGTTTTGGGTCTCCTTTGACGGACTTTATGTTTAATTATGCGCCAAATGTTCTCAATCGGTGAAAGATCAGGACTGCAGGCAGGCCAGTTCAGCACACGGACTCTTCTACTACAAAGCCATGCTGTTGTAATAGCGGCAGTAAGTGGTTTTGCATTGTCCTGCTGAAATACACAAGGCCTTCCCTGGAATGGATGTCGTCTGAAGGAGAGCATATGTTGCTCTAAAACCTTTATATACCTTTCAGCATTCATGGTGCTTTTTAAAACATGCAAGTGTCCCACACCATATGCACTAATGCATCCCCATACCATCAGAGATGCTGGCTTTTGAACTGAATGCTGATAACAGGAGGGGTGGTCTTTCTCCTCTTTAGCCCGGAGGACACGACGCCGATGATTTCCAACAAGAATGTCGAATTTGGACTCGACTGATCACAGGACACTTTGCCACTTTGCTACAGTCCATTTTAAATGAGCCTTGGCCTACAGAATACGGTGGTGCTTCTGGATCATGCTCAACAATGGCTTCCTTTTTGCATGATAGAGTTTTATGTGGCATCTGTGGATGGCATGGCAGACTGTGTTTACAGGCAGTGGTTTCTTGAAGTATTCCTGGGCCCATTTAGTAATGTCAATGACAGAATCATGCCGGTGAGTGATGAAGTGGCGTCTGAGGGCCGGAAGATCACGGGCATCCAGTATAGGTCTTCGGCCTTGTCCCTTACGCACAGAGATTTTTCCAGCTTCTCTGAATCTGATGATGTTCTGCACTGTCGATGATGAGACCTTCAAAGCCTTTGCAATTTGACATTGAGAAATATTGTTTTAAAAATATTCCACAATTTTTTTTTACACAAGCCTTCACAGATTGGAGAACCTCTGGCCATCTTTACTTCTGAGAGACTCAGCCTCTCTAAGACATCCCTTTTATAGCCAATCATGTTACACACCTGATGCCAGTTAACTTAATTACTTGCTAAATGTTCTTTCAGCTGATTTTCTTATATATTAATTGGTTTTTCAGCCCTTTTTTGTCTGTGTCCCAACTTTTTTTGACCTGTTGCAGCTAGAAAATTTGAAATAAGCTCATTTTGTGGATAAAAATGTAAAATGTCTCAGTTTCAACATTTGAAATGTTATCTATGTTCTATTGTAAATAACATGTTGGCTCATGTGAACTGAAAGTCATTGCGTTATGATTTTATTCACTGTTTACACTTCGTCCCAACTATTTCGGAATTGGGGTTTTTTTATATATATATATATAAGATCAGTAAGAGATTCTCGCACGGAATTGAGGTCCTTGCGCATGGAGGTTTATCAGTTTCACCTGCGTTATAACTCCGGACTTCTCACGCTTATCTTTACACAGGTTTTGCCAACAATGGTTTGTAAACAATGTGGTTTTGCCGACTCAGGTCCGCATGTTACGTGTGTTTATGTAAAATTTAAAACCGTCAACAACCAGTGACATTATCGTAATTCAAGTTAACTTTCAACCTGTTACCAATTAAGAATCAGACATTTAATTGAATTCATTTACTGTGCAAATAGGCTACCAATAAGCTGCACTGCCAAAAGTGATAAGACATAAAGCTTAGCATAAAAGACGAAGGCTCCACAATATGAGATTGCATGGACAGCAATGAACTAAAATTTCTCAAAATTCCATCTTGAAGTAAACTCTTATGTAGTAAATGCTGCTGAAGACGGTATTTAGATAAGGTTTAGATTTTGTTTCAGATTAAGGGGACCTATGGCTAAGCAAAATGCCAATTTTGGTTCAAAATATTAGTTTTGAGGTTAGAACATGAAGTGGTCCTTCAAATAGTCCTTAATATGAAGTCGTGTTCCGAAGGAAACATTTGTCACAAACACTGTCTTCAAGGCTGGAACAGCTATGAGTGTGGTGACTTTCAATGATGGCCAACGAGGAATTGCCTCCATTCTTATGAAACTTGGCATCAAGGCAGGGGCAGACTCAATGAAAGGCTATCACAAAATGGACAGAAAACGTGTGAAACAGAGTGAAAAACACGCCCTAGAACTTGAAAAAAAAAAA